AGGCCGTGTCTCAAAAAAAAAAAAAAAAAAAAAATGCAGAATCTGAGCCCCACCCTACATGGGCTGGTCAGTCTGCAGCTTAACAAGAGTTTTAGGCTGCTCATGTGCTCTGTCAAGTTTGAAAAGTACTGGACCAGGTACTTAGGAATCTTTTTGGCATGCCTGGCTAATTTTTGTATTTTTAGTAGAGACGGGGTTTCCCCACGTTGGCCAGGTTGGTCCCGAACTCCTGACCTCAAGTGATCCACCTGCCTTGGCCTCCAAAAGTGCTGGGATTACAGGCATGAGCCACCGCACCCCACAGGCACCTAGGAACCTTTAGTGGTCCCCTTCTAAAATCCTACCTCACCAACCTATGCAGAGCCTGGTGGGGAGAGCTGGATGCCTTTCTCTGCTCGCATAAGCCCCATTTCTCCCTAGCACATGGCCCCACTGTGCCAAGCCATAAATAACACGGCAATCCTTCCCGGCATGAGGGCTTCCAGGAGGCAGGTGCCCCTTGGGCTTCCTGAGACCGTCAATCTTCCTGTGTCTCTGTGCAGTTTCTTTCAGGAGCAACAACCCTGGTCATCTCAGCAAACCACGCCATTCCCCGGGTGAGTTTCACAGACATTGCCTCTGCCTCTGAGCACAGCTTATCCTGAAAGACCTTACATGAAGGTGGGTGTTTGTGGGGCCCTTCCACAGGATGGTAGGTGAGTGGGCAGAGGCCTTTGTCCGCAATCCTACCCACTGGTGGGTCTGAGCTCTGACCATCCTCCCGTCCCATCGGAGCCTCCTGCATCTAACTTGAGTCTGGTTCTAGCCTCTTCTCCTTTACCACAGCTCCTCCCTGCCTTCCATACAGCCTGGACTCAGCAAATCACCCCTAACTGGGTAGGTTGGATGCAGACCCAAATAGCGTTAAACTTGCCAGACCTCCTGGTTAGACCTCCAGAAAGGGGACTCCATCCCCACCAGAGCCTTCTGTTTTGAACCTGGGGAACTAGAATCCTAGCGCTGCTGTAACAAATTACCACATACCAGGTAGCCTAAAACAACAGAAACGTGCGAGCCTCATGGCTCACGCCTGTAATCCCGGCACTTTGGGAGGCCGAAGCTGGTGGATCACTTGAGGTCAGGAGTTCAAGACCAGCCTGGCCAACATGGTGAAAACCCATCTCTACTAAAAATACAAAAATTAGCCAGGTGTGGTGGGGGGGTGCCTATAACCCCAGGTACTCGGGAGGCTGAGGCAGGAGAATCACTTAAGCCCGGGATGCACAGCTTGCAGTGAGCTTAGATGGTGCTACTGCACCCCAGCCTGGGCAACTGAGTGAGACTCTGTATCAAGAAAAGGAAAAAAAAAAAAAAAACAGAAATGTGTAGTCTATGATTCCAGAGGCTGGAAACCCAAGGTGAAGGTGCTGGCAGGATGGCGTTCTCCCTGATGGCTCTAGGGGAGAATCCTTTCCAGCCTCTTCCCAGCTTCCAGTGGTTGCCACAACTCTTGGTGTTCCTTGGCTCACAGACACATCCTGCCAGTGTCCGCCTCTGTCATCAGGGGCTGTTCTCCCTGTGTCCCTTCCCTTCTTCTAAAGACACTAGTCATAATCCATAAGATGACCTCACCATCTGCAAAGGCCCATTTCCAAATAGATCCCATTCACAGGTACCAGGGTTAAAACTTCAACATATCTTTTGGGGAGATACAATTCAACCCACAAAAGATGGCAAATAGCTTTTATGATGTGACCCTGGTGGGTTCTGAGGATTGACGGATGTTGTTTGCCATGGGCTCGGCAGGAAGAAGTGGCCACACATGTTTCTGGCTATGCCCCTGCCACAAATCTGTCTTCTGGCTATTAAGGCTGACGTCGTAGCTTCTGTGGCCTATGGGATCCCGCAGGTGGAGCAGAGATGCTCTCACCTTGGCCACTGGTTCCTGGCTCCTAGGGTAGGTCACTGGTTCCTCCAGGATCAAAAGCCTGTGAAGGAAGCCGGTGACACAGGGGGCATGTGAGCCGGCACCCTCCTCTTCCAGCTGGGTAGTAACATGGGCTCTAGTCTCCTTGGCAAATAAAAGTCGGCATAGGGCTGAACCTGGTCACCTCACTGGGCCAGCCTCGGGGTGTGTGCCTTCATGGCTGAGCTGCCATGACCCTCCTCCACTGTGTCCACCTTCTCCATCCATACCTCTCCCTCTCCTCTGGCTCTAGAAACTCAAGTCCCAGAGACCCCGTGTCCCTTTCTGACTGTGGGCTCCCCTCTCTTCCCCTGCACAGCGACAATCTTCTATATGGACTCTATCTCCTCCCCTCCCATCTCCACAGACCTCAAGCCCTTTCAGGGTGGCCGCCAGTAGCTTACTGCCAGATACACTACATGCTTTTCCATGTATTTTCTTACTTGACCTTCTGTACTTTTTTGCTGCTGGATGTCAGTCTGAATGGTTGACCACATTTTACATTATCGTAACAACTAGAATATGGTAATGTTAGCAGAATTCTCTCCAGGAATCGCCATCGAAACTTTTGCCCACTTGATGTTTGTTTCATGACCATTCATCTGACAATTATTTATTGAACAACTACCAAGCACAGATGGTCCTCAACTTGAGCTGGTTCAACTTGGGACTTTTTAATCTTATGGTAGGTTTATTGGGATGTAACCCCATCATAAGCTGAGGAACACCTGTACTGGTTTGGGTTTGGGGAATACAGGAACAAACAAAATGGGGGGGAACCTATCACAGGGAACTGACATTCTAGTCAGTGGGAAATGGACAAGTAAGCTATATTAACATATTGCAACTAAAGAACAAGGAAAAGCTCATCCATCCAAACTGCCTCTGATGAAGCAATCGTGCTATGATGGGCATTGTCCTTACCAGTCATATTTGCCCCAGAAAAGGGTGCAAAATGACCATAAGACTTTCCCCCTTGAGATAGACACCTGCTTGTTAGTAAATAATTTCTGTACCAGTTGCTATGTCACAAACCACCCCAAAACTTTCTGGTGTAAAGCAATCGTATTATCATGCTCACAGATTTTATAGCCCAGAACTTGGACAAAGCAGAGCAGGGAAAGGTAATCTCTGCTCTGTGGTCTGGAACATCTGCTGGGAAGAATCCAAGCTGGGGGTGATCTGATGAGTGGGAGCTAGAATCATCTGGAAGTATCTTCACTCATGCCTGGCAGATGACGCAGGCTCTCAGCCAGGACCTCAGCTGGGCTGTGAGCTACAGTACCTTCACAGGCCCCTCCATGTGGGATGATTGGGACTTCCTCACAACATGGTGGCTGAGTTCCAAGAGCTGGCATCCTGTCTATGAAAGCCAGATGGAAGCTCATAGCATTCTATGATCTAGCCTCAGATGTCACATGGCAGGCTGGGTGTGCAGTGGCTCATGCCAATCTTGGCATTTTGGGAGGCCGAGGCAGGAGGATGGCTTGAGACCAGGGGTTCCAGACCAGCTTGGGTAATATAGCAGGACTTCTCTGCA